ATACAATAGTGGGAGAGGCGAGTTGGTGACAAGTTACAATGAATTTGAAATAGGATCATGGATTCAGAACTGGAAGACCCCTTAGAGGTCACTGAGTCCAACCCCTCATTTTAAAGATGAGGAAACTGAGGCACTGAGTGACTTGCCCAGAGTCACACAGTTAATAAATGGTTGTGGTGGGACTTGTATCTGGGTCTTTCTGACTCCAAGTCCAGTGTCCTCTTTCAAGCAAAGAAGTTTCTATTTGATCCTAGAGGCAATAGGAAGTCACTGGAGTTTAGTGAGTAGAGGTTTTCCATGGTCAGACCTATGCTTGAGGAAAATCACTTTGACAGCGGTCAATGAGTCAGCCAATTAACATTTATTAAGCACCTATTATTGCAGGGCACTGTGCTAAACACTGGGGATACAAAGAAAGGTAAAAGGCAGTCTCTGCTCTAGGGGAACAACCCATAAGAAAACATAGGGGAACAATCCCATGAGAGAGACAACATAAAAATAATGATGTACAACCAAGCTATGTTAGAAGATAAATTAGAAATAATCCACAGGAGGATACTAGAATTAAAGGGGATCAGGAAAGGCTTTCCTAGAAGTTGGGGTTTGAGCTGGAAGGAAGTCAGGGAAGACAGAGGAGCAGATGATGATGGAGAGTGGGCAGCCAGGGAAGATTCCCAGGGTCCAGACGGAAAGTGGAGGCCAATGGTACAGGATCACAAAGCATGGGGTGGGGTGTGAGCTTTAAGACTGTCAGGTTATGAAAGGCTTTGACCCCTAAAGAGAGGAGTTTATATTTGATCCTGGAGGTGATAAGGAGCCCATGGACTTTCTTGAGTAGTGAGTGACATGATCAGATCTGTACTTTAGAAGATCACTTTGACACTCTTTGGAGGATGGATTTGAGTGGAGAGAAACTAAAGGCAGAGAGACCAGTTAGGAAAGCTATTGAATAGTCCAAGTCAGAGGTAATGATTGTCTGAGCTAGGGTGGTAGCTGTGTGAATGGAAAGAAGGGGACAGATGTGAGCTATGTCTCGGAGAGAGAAAAAGATTTGACACCTGATTAGATATGAGGGACTAATGAAGGTGAGGAATTGAGGATGCACTGAGTTAGCAAACCTCAGTGAATGGAAGCATAGTGATGTCCTTGATAGAAACAGGGAAGTTTAGAGGAGGCATGGGTTTGGGAGGAAATATAATGATACCTCTGGTGCAAATCGAGACCCAATCACACCTGCTTAACCTTTTGACCAAATCACTGGGTAAGAGTCCTGGGACTGCTGTCTTTGTTACACTTAATGACCTATATTATTTTTTTCTACTTTATTTAAAAATTTTTTCTCCAATTACATGGAAAAACTTTTTTTAGCATTCATTAACAAAATTTTGAATTCTAAATTTTTCTCCCTTCCTCCTTTCCCTGATTTTGTCCTAAAACAATAAGCAATTTGGTATAGGTTATATATCTGCAGTGATATAAAACAGATTTCCATATTAGTCATAGCTATGAAAGACGATGTAGACCAAAAGGAAAAACCCGTGAAGAAAGATAAAGGGAGTGAAAATGGTATGCTTTGATCTGCATGAGATTTTTTTTATTAATACCAGCATATAACCTTGTTAGGACTATCCATCTAATCCAATTTCCTCATTTTCCTTTGAAGAAAATCAAGCCAAGGGAGGTTAAAAGACTTGACCAAGGTCACATGGGCAGTAAGTAGAAGAGTGAGAATTTGAACCCAGTTCCTTTGTTATTCTTTCCACTCTACCCCATTGACTCAATTTTCATCTCTGTATGTTCCATTGAATAGAATCCAGTACAATGTGTCATAAGTGCTTAATTGTTTAATTTATTGAATTCCACTCTTTGTGACCCAAGAAGAGTTTGGATAATTAAATTCTTTTAAAACTAAAAAAAGATTATTGGTCTCTTTTGGTTCTACATTGCCTACATTTCTTCCAGTGTCCTTCCTTCTCCCCTTCCTAGAAAACCACCTCATATAATAAAAAATTTTTAAAGAACAAAAAAAGAAAGAGAAAAAATTTAATAAACTGATCAACACATCAAAAGAGTCTAAAAATATATGCAATGTTCTATACCTGGGGACCTCCAGCCTCTGCAAAGCAGTGGGGGAGATATCTCCTCATTTCTCTTCTTTGGAGCCATGCTTGGTCTTTATAATTCTTCAACATTCATTTTCAATTGTTTCTGGTTATTGTTCTTTTCCTTTACGTGGATGTATATTGTTTTCTTGCTTACTACACTCTGTAACAATTCATGGAAGTCTGTCCGTGCTTCTCTGTATTTATCGCTTTTTTTTTGTTGTTGGTCCTTACAGCACAGTAATAATTGTCTTACATTAATATAGCAAGATTGTTTAGCCACTCCCCTATAGATGGACATCTACTCTGTTGGACAATTGAAACTCACAGGGAATTTCCCAACTTTATTATGGCAAATTTTTTCCTTCAAGGTAAGTCCTTTTCATGAGGAGTATTTTTTCCCTTTATCTTGTTAGATGTTGAAGTAAAAGCAAGGGTCCTTCCTGGGTTGTCTGTTCTGGGTATGTTTTGGTGGAGAACTCTCCTGCAAGAGACTTTGTACCAAGCTTGCTTACTTACAGGAAGACTGAAATGGTTCAGGCCCCTATTCCAAAGTGAATCTAAGCCCTCCAGGGCTGCAAAAGGCACAATCATTTGCTCATACCTCATGTCCTCTAGCCTGTGTTGAGGCTTGAAGAACTCTAAAATTCATTACTCTGTAATTTATGCCTTTTCTCAGCTTCTTTGTTACCCATTTCTTCTCTTCTGCTTCCCTATTCCTTATTATGCTATCTTAGTTTATTAGAATGTAGAGACTGCCTTTTGCCTGTTTTTGTATCCCCAGCACAGGGACTGGTACATAATAACTTCTAAATAAATGTTTATTTATTGGTTGATGGACTGATTGACAAGTTTTTTTGTATGCTTGGTAAGTTAATCCAAAGTATTTTATGCACTTTGTAATTATTTGGAATAGGATTTCTTTTATGTTATTGCTTCTTGTGTTTTTGTTATTATTATATAGAAGTGTTGTTGATTTTTGAGGACTTATTTTGTAGACTGCAATTTTGATGAAGCCATTAACTCAGTTTGCATCTTTGATGATTCCCTAGAATTTTCCTAGTAAACTATCATATCATCAACAGATAGGGATGATTTTATCCCCTCTTTACCTCTCTTAATTTTTTTCTTTGTTCTTATTTCTGTTGCTAGCATTTCTGTAAGTACATCAAATACTGGGGGAATAGTGGGGGAAGTGGACATTTTTGCCTCATTCTTGTTTTTATTGGAAAAGGTTCTAGTGTTTTCTTTTTGCCTATGGTGCTTGCTTTTGGATGTATGTGCTTTTTAAGATATCAAATAACATTATCACTATTCCCGTAATTTGTAGTGTTGGTTTTTTTTAGGGGCATGGGGTGTAGGCATAAAAGTGTTTTCCTCCATCCAAGGCTTTTTCTGCATCTATTGAGATGATCATGTGGATTTGGATGTTTGGGTTTTTAATGTAATTAATTATGTTCCTTATTTCCTTAAAGTTCAACCATTTTTGCTTTCCTGGTATAAATCCTACTTGATTATTATGTATGATTTCTTAGATAAATCACTGTAGTCTGTTGGGATTTTGTTTAAAATTTTTTAGTTAATTTCATTATTGATATTGGCTTCTAGTTTTCCTTCTGTTTTATCTTTCCCTGGTTTCCGTATTAGGACTATATTGGTCTCATAAAAGAATTCTGTTCAGGGGTTTCTCTTTCTCATTTTTTTTTGAAAACAATTTGTGAAGTATAGGTACTAACTGTTTTTTTTAAAGAATGGTAAGAGTCTCCTGTGAATCCATCAGGACTAGGAGTATTTGTCTTTGATAGTTCCTTTTTTATTTAGATGCATTTCCCTTTCTGATCTTGGGTTATTTAAGATCTCTCTCTCTCTTTTTTTGATAGCTTGGGTTTTTTATATGTTTGAAGGTATATCTTTATTTCTTTTGTATTCTGAGTTTTGTTAGCATACAACTGTGTGCAATGTGTTCTGATTATTCTTTTTATTTCTTCTGTTTTTGCTGTGACTTCACATTGTCCATTTGCTATTTTACTGACTTAATTTTCTTCTCCCTTCTTTTTAATCAGATTATCTAAGGGTTAGCAATTTTATTAGTCTTTTCTGTGATGTTTATTGAAATTTATGTATTTCCCCTTACTTTTTGATATCTATTGTACTTATCTTAGATTTGCTTATTTATTGGCTTTCTAATTTTTAAAAATGTATATTCAATTAATTAATCTTCTATTTCTATTTTGTTAGTGTATGTTTCTAAGGATATGATTTCCCCTTTAAGTCCTGCTTTAGCTGTGCCCCAGAAATTTTTGATATGTTGTTTCATCATCATCTTCTTTTACATAGTTATTTTCTTTCAGTTTTTAATTGTTTCTATGACTTGTTCTTTGACCTGCTCAATACTTAAGATTTCATCAAGTCTCCATATGGGTCTGTATCTTGTGTTTATGGTCCATGAACCAATTCTTATTTTTATTATTTGTGGTCTGTAAAGGATACATTAAAATATTATTTATTTCTTCCTTTTTACATTTGTTTGCAAAATCTCTGTACCTATATGTCTTACATGACATTTCGTTGATTTTCTGTACTTAAGAAAATATCTGAGCCCAATTCTTTCCTACAGGTGAGAGAATGACAGTTCCATAAGAGGTAATAATTCTATCTATGTACGTATATGGAATGATTGTTTTTTGTTTCGTTTTTGGTTTTTTTTTTCGGCTAGGCAACGGGGTTAATGGACTTGCCTAGGTTCTCACAGCTAGTGTCACGTGACTGACGCCGGATTCAGGGCACCGCCTAGCTGCTCCCCTATATGGAATTATTGGGCGTGTATATATACCCACCGCGACCAATTTCCTTTTTATTTTTCAGTGCCCTGGGCTACAGGAGACAGTGAGAGCTAGGGCTAGGTAAGTTAAGGAAAGGAGGCAAGCCGCTGGCAGGCAGCCAAGTTGAACTTTACGTGCTTTGGGGTAAGAAAAGATGGCATCAGAAGGACCCCGGTGGTACGTCCAACTCGTCCTCTTCATGCTGTGCCTGACGCCCTACGCCAATGCTGGTGAGTCCGCGATCGTCCCTTCCCCCGCCCGGCGGTGGTCCCTACTCTAGTTTTTAGTAAGGTGATCCCATCGCCCAGGAGTCAGTCGATTCGTGCTCTTTTAATCCCTTCGTTTACAAAGTTCTTCCCCAGGTAATTGTGTCCCATTGCCCATGACTGCATCTATTAGTCCTTTTGCCGGGCTCCACAATCTAATCTAAGTGTAGTTACTAGTTCTCTTCCTTCCTCTTTAGAGTACTACCTGCTTCTCCCCTGCCGTGAGGCCCCCCCCCCGCCCCAACCCCAGTTCATTCATTTTCACATTTGCTAGGTCTCCCTCTCCCCCGCTCCCCTCCTCAAACCTTGCCTTGTTCCTTGCTATGGGTAATGTCTTTTGATTCAAGCATAAAGTGGATCTAAGTGAGGCAGAGTTGGAGGAAGTCATCGGCCTCACTCTCTCCTCCACAGTCATCACAGTACAGTGGCAGGACAGAATCAAGACTGCTCAAGATGCAATGCAGAGTCTTCATATATTTCGAGTAAACACCCCCAAACTCAACAGCGGATTTGAGACCCCTTGTTCCTTGCCAGTTTGGAAACAAAACTGAAAACAGAAAAAGAAAAAGAGCCTTCTAGGACCCTCACCTTCTCCCTAACACCTCCATTTCCTTCCTGGGGTTTTGTTTTTTTTTTTATGCCCACTCACACATCTTTTCCTGAATTGTAACTGCAGGCTGAAAACTACCTTTTGCTAGCGGCTTGCTGAAGCTGCTGGGGAGCTGGGATACGGGTGGGACTTCCTTTGTAGTTCCTGCGTGTGTCTGGAGCGCTGCTAGCTCGCTTAGCTAAAGACTATCTCTACTAAAGTAGAAAATCTTTAATGAGAGTCATCCATTGGGCCTTTTTTTTTTTTCACTCCCACCCCCACCCCCACCCATCTTTTTCTGAATTGTAGCTGCGGGGGGAAAACTGCCTTCGGCTAGGGGCTTGCTAAGCAGCGCTGAGCTGGGATGGGTGTGGGGCTCTTACCTGCGGTTACTGGGGGGCATCTCAGGCTCTGCTACCTCGCTTAGCTAAAGAGAGAAGTTGAAAATCTGTTTTTTCTTAAATTAATTTATTTATTTTTAGTTTTCAACATTTACTTCCACAAGATTTTGAGCTCCAGATTTGCTCCTCATTCCTCCCTCCCCCCACCCCAAGACGGTATATTCTAAATACCCTTTCCCCTGATCTGCCCGCCTTTCTATCACCCCCGCCCCTTTATCCCCATCCCCTTCTATTTTTCCTGTAGGGCAGTATAGATTTCTATATCCCATTGCCTATATATCTTATTTCCCAGTTGCATGCAAAAATAATTTTTAACACTCATTTTTAAAACTTTAATTTCCAAATTATTTCCCTTCCTCCCTCCCCACTCACCCTCATTAAGAAGGCAAGCAATTGAATAAAGGTTATACATGTGTAGTCATGCAAAACACTTCCATAATAGTCATCTGAAATACTAACTATAATTACCTCCATCCTATCCTGCTCTCCCGTTTATTCTATTCTCTTCTTTGACCCTGTCCCTCCTCAAAAGTGTTTGCTTCTGATTACCCTCTCCCCCAATCTTCCCTCCCTTCTATCATCCCCCCTCTCTTATCCCTTTTCTCTCTATTTTCCTGTACGGTAAGATAGAGTTCCAGGCCTAGTTGAGTGTGTGTGTTATTGGGCCTGACGCCGGCCCTTGTTGAACTAAGCTGCGCTACCTAGCTGACCCTGGGCCTTGGGGAGGGGAGAAAGCCGCTGCAGGTGGTCGCGGGTGCATGTGGAACTTCAGGCTTCCTGCTCTAGGGGAGTACTGTTGGCTCTGCCACAACGATACTGGGGCGCACTGTTCTGGGGAGGAGGGCGAGGCTGCACAGGCTGCACCTGAGTGGAGTTCGAGTCCCAGCAGGGAATAGATAGGCAGAGGTCTCTGGGCAGGAAAGACGGAGCAAAGCTGTTTTATGCGGTGCTTAGCACAGTGCCTGGCCCAGAGCAGCCACTAATAAATGTCGATTCGTTGTGGATGCTTTGCTCGGTCAGCTAGCTGGCTCAGTGGATAGAGGGCTAGACCTGGAGTCAGGAAGAGCTGAGTTCAAGACCTTACTCACAAAGTTAGTGGCTGTGTGTCAAGCCCCTTAACCTCTGTCTTCCATAGTTTCTCCATTTTACAGACGGAGAAACGGAGTCATTGTGAGGGTTAAATGAAATATTTGTAAAATGCTTTGCAAACCTTAAAACATTGTAAATGCCTATCTCAAAGCCTTTACTTAGAGTTTCAGATTTGAGAAATTAGATTCAATATCAGTCATTCAACAAACAGCACATGTTAGGTGCTGGGGGTATAAATACAAAGAATTTTTAAAATTTTCTATTTACAAAATAGTGAAATACAAAATAATGCAGTCACTTGCAGCGGAGATCAGGGAGATGGTGTAGTTTAGGGACTTGGGGTCTGGCAGATGAGAGCCCCAGGGAGTGCCTGTCATAGGAGGAGGAGGCCAGGAGTTAAGAGAAGGAAGGGCTAGAATTGGCAGTGGCTCCTCCTTCTGGCCGGTTGTTGGCTGGAGGTGAGTGGAAAGAGGACAAAGGCATGAGTATATCTATGTCTACATCTATGTCTATGTCTATGTCTATATCTATATCTATATCTATCTATCTATCTATCTATCTATCTATCTATCTATCTATCTATCTATCTGTATTTATGGATAATGAGTGTACCAGAACTGGAGAGGGTGGCCAGGGATGAGCTGTCATTAGAAGAAAACAGATTTGCATTTCTCCAGTTATTAGTGATTTAGAACATATTTTTCATATGACTATTGATAGCTTTGCTTTCCCATAAAACTGCCTGTTAGTATCATCAGACCACTTATCAATTGGGGAATGGCTCTGTTCTTATAATTTTGTTTGGCAATGTTCCCTATGTATGTGAGAAATGAGACCTCAGTTAGGTTGTTAGTTGGATGGGGTCTCTACTCTGTCCAACATAGGGATTTCCCCTCTCTACTTAGCTGAACAGAACCATGCTCAATTCTCTTTTCATATAAATCCCTTTGCTTCCTCCTTCTCCCTAGGAGGTAATAGAGCATAGGAAGCAGGATGTCATTGAGTCAGGTGGCTTTGTGTGTACTCCTGACCATTCTCTCCATTTCTTCATCTTGACTGTCCATCCTCCAGAGAACCAACTTTGTGGTCTCTTGAAGCTCGTGTTTTTCTGGAGAGGGAAAGATGATATGCTCATTTTCTACAGAAGAAACTGAGGTTCAGAGAGACTAAGTGACTTGGATAGAGGTCTTTGGTCTAAACATAGGAACTTTTTCTTCTCAACTGATGGCAACCATAATTAATTCCACTTTTACACATACAACCTTTACTTTTGGGTTGGGGGGTGGGACAGACAGAGCCCAAGAGCTCTGATGGTGTTGAGTAGAGATCAGTTAAATCACTAAGTGTGTATTAAGCGCCAACTATGTGCCAGGGCAGCTAGGTGGTGAAGTGGATAGAGCACTGGGCCTGGAGTCAGAAAGATCTGAGAGGTTTGAATTCAAACCCAGAGTCAGATACTTACTAGCTGTATGATCCTGGGAAAGTTACTTAACCCATATTTGCCTCAGTTTCTCTTCTGTAAAATGGGCACACATTGGAGAAGGAAATGGCAAACCACTTCAGTACCTTTGCCAAGAAAACCCTGGATGTAGGCCGAAGGGTCACTATGAGTTAGACTTGACTGAAAGACTGAACAACTGTCAAATGCCTGTAATTGTGTAGAATGCTAGGGATACAAAAAGAGGCAAAAGACATTCCCTGCCCTTGAGGAGCTCACAGTGCAGTGGGGGAGAAAACAAGCAAACAAATATATCCAAACTATATACAAGATAAACAGGAAATAATAAACAGAGGGAAGGCACCAGAATTAAGAGGGATTGGAAAAAGCTTCCTGTAGAACATGGCATTTTAACTCGGACTTGAAGGAAGCCAGCAGGCTGAGAGGAGAAGGGAAAGCATTCTACACATGGCAGACAGCCAGGAAAAAATAATGGGGAGAGAGAGAAAATGAATTTTCAGCTTTCAATTGTCTTCCTCTTTCCACTTCCTCTGCCACACATTGAGAATACAGGAAAAACAAAACCTGTGTCAAATATTCATAGTCAAGCAAAACAAATTCCTGAATTGGCCAGGTCCAAAAGAAATATGCTTCCCTCTTCGCTCTGATTCCATCATGACCTGTCTGTTTGGAGATGGGGAGCATGTTTCATCATGAGTCCTCTGGAACTCCTGTTGGACCTAGTGTTGATCAGAATTCCTAAGTCTTTCAAAGTTGTTTGTCTTTACATTAGTATTATTGTTATCAATTGTTCTCCTGGTTCTCCTCCTTTCCCTTCGCATCTGTTCATACAAGTCTTCCCAGGTTTCTCTGAAACCCTTCATCATTTCTTACAGCACAATAATATTCCATCCCATTATTGACCTTAACTTATTTTCCTTTGTACATATTTGCTTGTAGGTTATTGCCCCATTCGAGTGTCATCTTTTTCTAAGCAGGGGCTAGAGTTTTTGTCATTGTTATTGTTGTTGCTTTCTTTGTATTATTCACTGCTTAGCACTGTGGTTGGAACCAAGTAGGTGACTGAGAAATTCATGTTGATTTCATTTGACTTTCCCTTGTAGAAGGAAACTGAAAGAATTAAGCTTTTCTCTATTTTTGAAAACAGTTCTTAATTTAGGAATTGATTGTACTTTGAATGTTTGATAGAAGTCATTTGTGATTGAGGGTATAACAGCTCATTAATAGTCTGTTTAATTTATTCTTAAGAGATTGCTTTATTTATGTTATCTCTTTCTTAGATAACCACTTTGGACATTTTATGTATTTTTGTAAATATTCATAATTTATTTTATATTCTCAGTTTTGAGGGCAAATAGTTGAATGTAATGATCCTTGACAATTAATTTCATAGGCATTAGTGTCTTCTTTCTCATTTCTGATTTTGGTTATTTGGTTTTCTTTTCCCTTCTTTGTTCAAATTTTCTAATAGTTTATTAATTTTGTTAATCTCTTAAACAAATTCTTTGATTTATTAATCAATTGTTACTTGTGATTTTATGGATTTTCCCCCCTGTGATTTAGGTGAGAAGTATTTTTGAAGTGACACACACAAACATAGGTGTGTGTGTATTTTATATATATGTATATAATATTTAAAATAACAGGCAGACATAAGGTCTTTGGCATTGATAGCATAAGTAGACTATGTAAAGAAATGGTCCTGGACTGCAGAGATATAATAAAGATGTAATTGGAATTGTCTAGGTGAATAATAAGTCCTTCAATTCAGTCTAGACAGGATTTCACAGAAATGATCATTTATGAGATGACAGGGAGGGAAGCTCAGTTTCTTCATCTGTAAAATGGGAGAATTATATTTGTAGTGCCAAACACAGGGAGTTTGTGAGGAAACCTGAAAAGTGTTATGGAAATACAAGCAATTATCATTATGGTGTCCATTTGAACTAGCGTAAGTGACATACAGTCTTTGATGTTTCTAGGCAGGGAACTGAAGTCTTGGACTGAGGAAATGGATAAAGAAGGTGACATCTCAGATAACTGGGGGGAAAATGGCAAGTGAATCCATGGGCACAGATTTTTGTTTCCCATGTCCTGGTGCCCAGTGAAAACCAGAGAGCTCTAGAACATCCCTTCTATCAGAGGGGTCGATAATGTTGCATGTGCAATATTACCAGAGAAGGCACTGAATGAGTGATCAAGATTGGAGGGTCCTAGCCAGTGACTCTATTTCCAAATCTTGAGTCAGAGTTTTAAGTGGTGGTCTGATGTGGAGAGAGAAGGGAGCAGTGTTCTTTGAGTAGGGCGGTGAGTTATGTGTCCTTGTTCATAAAAAGGGAGAGGTAATTGGGATTGTGAGGATGGACAGAATGAGAAAGGGGTCAGATTCAGAAGCAGTGTATGGCTGTGTAAAGGATTTGAGGAGGAAGAGGGAGAACTGAAGGTCAGCTTGGTGAAGACATTTTCCTGGATAGAGCAGAGGGAAGAGAATGAGGAGACAGTGACTCCAATCTCCTGGTCAGGCATTTATTCCTGCTCTGCTCTTTTCTTTCTCTCTCAGAATCTCATCGTCTTCAATACAACTTATTTGCAATGGTCAGTTCTGATGGAGAACCCCCCTCATATTCAGCCCATGGCTACCTGGATGATGAATTGTTCCTTCATTATGACAGTGAGAGCCAGAGGCCAGAGCCTCGGGGCACCTGGTTGGATGGTCTTGTGGAAACAGACACTTGGAAGAAAGAGAAGAGCAATGTGAAAGAGATTGGACAGGACTTCAAAATAACTCTGAGACAAATCATGGACCAGAGCAACCTAAACACTGGTAAGTTTGGGGCTTAGGGCAGGGGCTGGATGAGTGTGGGATTCACCCTCCACAGAGATTGTGTGGTGTAGCGGTCAGGCTGCTGAAGTGGGAGTCAGAGGAACAGGATTTGAATCTCCACCTCTGTCTCTTACTACTTGCACCATCCTGAGCAAGCAATTTAACCTTCCTGGGCCTCAGTTTCCTCATTTTGTAATTAAGGATTCTAATTAGGGAATTCTAGTCCTAAATCTTTGATCCTATCAGGATGGGGAGAGGTGCTCTTTTTTCCCCATCCCTTTGTAAGAGAGTTTGTGGGCTCTTAGGATCTATTACAGGGAGGAGAGGAAGGAGCCTGGGGAAAGATTTTTCCAATTAGGTAAAAAGGGAGAACAGAGCCATGACCAGCCTGGTTTTGGGGATGGGGGTCAGGTTCTCACACCTTTCAGGAAACACTAGGCTGTGAACTCCATGAAGATGGTACCCGTAGAGGATTTTGGAAATACGGTTATGATGGAAGGGACTTCCTCATCTTGCAACCTGAGACACTCACCTGGAAAGCAGTCCATCCTGCTGCTGGCAATCTAAAGAATGCCCTTGAGGAAGAGCCAAGAGAAATAAAGATCAAGAAAGCAAAAACAGAAGGAGACTGTTGTGATCAACTTTTGAGTTACCTGAAATTTTGGCAGGAAAAAAAAGCAGGTACTGACGTAGGATAGTGGCCCTCACCTCTGACTGCCTTGAAAACTCCTCTCTCTGCCCCGTATTCCCTACCTGAGTTTTCTCCCTTCGTCTGTATGGGTAGGAAATCAGTCCTACCTTTGTCTGTAGACTCCCAGCATCCATGGGCTAATCTCCTTGGGGACCACTATGGGTATAGCTCACACACTCTTGTTCCTTGAGGAGCCTAGATGCTTGGGTACTAAAGTTCCTATGCGCCCTATTGTTGTTAATGGTGGTTTTGTCTCTCAGTAGGACAGAGGTTGCACCTTCACCTCTTCCTTCATTTTGTTCTCTTCCCCACAGCATTCCCTTTGCTGAATGTGACTCAAAAGGAGAACCGAGAGGGAAAGGTCACTCTGAGGTGTTGTGCTTACAGTTTTGTCCCTCGGGACATCAAGATGACCTGGCTGCAGAATGGGCATGCACTGAGCCACAGTGACCATGAAAGAGGAATCATTCAGCCTAGTGGGGATGGCACCTACCAGACCTGGGTGTCTATAGATGTCCACTCTGAAGAGTCAAATTACACTTGCCATGTGGAACATCAGGGAAGGAACCAAACCATCTCTGTACCCTTGGGTAAGTAGTGGCACAGTCATAATCAAGAGATAGCTGGGGCTGGAGCCAGGGTCCTTGTTGGAAACTGAGCCTCAGTTTCCACATATGTCCAATGAAGTTGTTGGACACAACTATCTCTAGTCCCCTCCCGATTTTAAGAGTCCATGAGTCTAAGGGAGCTCCTATTTTCTTCCCCACCTTCAAGGTGTATGAAAGATTGCCCTAGTCAGAGTCCTGATACCATAACAAAGTTCCAAGATCCTCCCTTGTTGGAGTCAAGATTTCACTCAGTCCTATGGGATCCAAAAGGGTGATAGAGTAGAAAGTCTCCTGAGTCTTCTCAGAGTTAGGAGAGACCTGTCTTAGAGGCACAGGTCGACCACTTGCCATCTTTGTGACCATAGGCAAGGCCCTTGAACTTCCCGAGTCTCAGTTTCCACTTCTGTAAAACAGGGACAACAGGACTTACATGAGCTACGTAAGCTACACCTCAGGCTGGTTGTGAGGAATCTGCTTTGTCCCCCTTAAAGTGTTCCAGAAATGGGAGCTCTTATTCTCATCAAGGATGTCTCTTCCAGGTCCTGTTCCGGAAGCAAGCAGGAAATACTGGGTCCTTGCTGCTCTGACTTTTGCTGGTGTTATTGCTATTCCATTTGTGGTATTTTTTTGTGGTGCCAGGTACAGAGAGAGAAGGCAGCAGCAGGATGGCCTCCCTGTATGAGCTATGATTCAGTGACTCCCAAGGCCTGCTCCTATACTGGCACTGTTTGTGCTGGACTGTGCTCCACTCTCACCTAGACTTATGTATATATACCCTATTTCATTGCATAATCATTATTTATTTTGTGCCAAAAACTTTTTTTTTACAAAAAAGTGGGGTATGACCATTATGTGAAGCTTTTTTAAAAATTTGGCTGCTATTATTTAAAAATCAAAGCAAGTAAGAGAAGTAGAGGAAAAACTAGGAAGAGAAATGAGAGTGATGCAAGAAAATCATGAAAAACAAGTCAACAGCTTGCTAAAGGAGACCCAAAAAAAATACTGAAGAAAATAACACCTTAAAAAATAGCCTAGGGGCAGCTTGGTGGCGCAGTGGATAGAGCACCAGCCCTGAAGTCAGGAGGACCTGAGTTCAAATCCGGCCTCAGACCAAACATGTACTAGCTGTGTGACTTTGGGCAAGTCACTTAACCCTGATTGCCTCACTGAAAAAAAAAATTAAATTAAATAAAAAAAAATAACCTAACTCAAAGGTCCAAAAAGCCAATGAGGAGAAGAATACTGTAAAAAACAGAATTGGCCAAATGGAAAAGGAAGTCCAAAAGCTTACTGAAGAAAATACTTTCTTAAAAATTAGAATGGAGCAATTGGAAGTCAGTGACTCTATGAGAAATCAAGACAGTGTAAAACAAAACCAAAAGAATGAAAAAATAGAAAACAATGTGAAATATCTCATTGGAAAAACAATTGACCTGGAAAATAGATCTAGGAGAGATAATTTAAAAATTATTGGACTATCTGAAAGCCATAATCAAAAAAAGAGCCTAGATATCATCTTTCAAGAAATTATCAAGGAAAACTTCCCTAATATTTTAGAACCAGAGGGCAAATTAGAAATTGAAAAAATCCATTGATCACCTCTTGAAAGAGATCCCCAAAGGAAAACACCTAGGAATATTGTAGCCAGATTTCAGAGTTCCCAGGTTAAGGAGAAAATATTGCAAGCAGCCATAAAGAAACCACTCTAGTATTGTGGAAACACAATCTGGATAACACAGGATTTAGCAGCTTCTGCATTAAGGGACCAGAGGGCTTGGAATATAATATTCCAGAGGGCAAAGGAGATAGGATTACAACCAAGAATCATTTACCCAGCAAAACTGAGTATAATCCTTCAGGGGAAAAAATGGATATTCAGTGAAATAGAGAACTTTCAAGCATTCTTGATAAAAAGACCAGAGCTGAATAGAAAATTTGACTTTCAAATACAAGACTCAAGTGAAACATGAAGAGGTAAACAGGAAAGAGAAACCATAAGAGACTTATTAAGGTTGAACTGTTTACATTCCTACATAGAAAGATGATATTTGTCAGTATTAGGGTAGTTGGAGTGAAAAAATTATATGTGTAATATATATATATATTATACATAGATATAGATAGATAGATAAATAGAGGGCACAGGGTGAGTTGAAGATGAAGGGGTGATATCTGGAGAATAAAATTAAAGGGTGAGAGAGGATTATACTGGCAGAAGGAGAAAGGGAGAGGTAGAATGGGGTAAATTATCTCACATAAAACAGACAAGAAAAGACTTTTACAGTGGAGGGGAAATGGGGAAAGGTGAGAGGGAATGAGTGAATCTTATTTTCATTAGATTTGGCTTAAGGAGGGAATAACATATACACTCAATTGGGTATGGAAATCTATCTTACCCTACAGGAAAATAGAGGGGGAGGGAGACAAGAGAGAGGAGGATGAGAGAGGGGAGGGTAGATTGGGGGAGGGGGTAATCAGAAGCAAATAATTCTAAGGAGGATCAGGGTCAAAAGAGAGAATAGAATAAATGGAGGTAGGGATAGTATTAAGGGAAATATACTTAATTTTTCACAACATGGCTACTATGAAAGTGTTTTGCATGACTACTCATGTATAACCTGTATTGAGTTGCTTGCCTTCTCAATGAGGGTGGGTGGGGAGGGAGGAAGGGACAAAATTTAGAACCCAAAGTTTTAAAAACAAATGTTAAAAAAATTGTTTTCCTATGCAACTGGGAATTAAGATATACAGAAAATGGGGTATAGAAATCTATCTTGCCCTACAGGAAAATAGAAGGGGAAGGGGATAAGGGGGGGGGGAGAGATAGAAGGGAGGGCAGAATAGGGGAATGGGTATTCAGAATGCATGCCATCTTGGGGTTGGAGGAGGGTCAAGTTGGGGAGAAAATTTGGAATTCAAAATCTTGTGAAAGTTAATGTTGAAAACTAAAAATAAAAAGTTTTAAAAAATCATTTATTATTGAACTATCTTTGGTGCAAGATTAGGATGCATGGAATACTCATGAATATATATTATAACTAAATAGTCCAAATTGGCTCACCTTATTTCTTCATGACCATTTAGTGAACATTTTTCCTCTCTGAAAAATAAAGTTAACACATTAGTTGTTATTGATGTATGCATTATAGTTGAAATATTACCCTTGAGAAAATTTACTACGGTGTTGGAAAGTACAGACTTACAAAATTTAACCTGTGTTGGAAGATTCTGTGCTGCTATCATTGGTTTTGCTATTTGACACACAGTCCTCAGCACCACTCATATCAGATGTGTTTACTTCCTTGTCACTTTACCACAGTGGGTCATCTTCAGATTCATCTAGTGCATTTGAAATGCCCATCTTTTTTGAAACTTTTGAAGACTGTTTTGTGTGGTATAAGGTCCTAACTCTTAATTACTGACCATGAGTGTGGGCTGAGAATTCTAGGCTCAGGGCTCACAATGGCGATAGATAAATGCATACCCATATGCTACTGATGCACACATTGTTGCTCTGTTTACCTTGTGTGCTGTGTGAGGAACAGAATTATACCATGTGATGATTATGCGATACAAGGTTATAAACCAGTTTTTGGACTGAAAAAACATGGTGGGCCTATTATGTGGTGAAATATGGGACTTTTATTCAGCACCCCTCAATTGTACCTGAGGCTGTTCCTACTAGCTGTGGTATCAATAGTGACGAGCCACCTGATGATGGTTCTGAGAGGAGGTGATAGGGACAGGGAAGCTGCTAACAGGCCTATTGAGGAAGTGACTGGGAAGCCTCCCCCATGCCTCTGAAACAAATCCAGTAGCATTTATTAAGTACCTACTACATGTCAGGAACTGTGGATACAACCATGAAAAGGAAACAGTCCTCTATCCTCAAGGAATTTACATGGGAAGGGAGTTGGGGAAAATCTAACTTTTCCCACAGCTTAAAAAATACAAAGTAAATACAAAGTAATTTCATAGCAGAGGAAGAAACTTAATAACTGAGGGATCCAGCAAAGGCTTCTGTTTGTTAGGAAAGGCACTTGATCTGAGCTCTGAAGGGAGCAAGGGGATTCCATAGGATTGTGGTTGGTTTTGATTCATCACAGGAATCACAGGAAATTCTTGGAATCTGTGAAAATTTGACTTAGGCTGGATTTGTGTGCCTTTAATATTTTACACATACTGTACCTACCCTGCTGTTGTTGGGCAATACTACCCCTACACATTTTATAAAGCTGGATGTGGCTAATTACAACTGGGGCATTTTAAAAAATGTGATTTTGATAACTTTTGCTTTTAAATCACCTTGAATATCTCATCGCAGAATCATCTTTGATAACATATTTTTTAAGAGAGCAAAAAGTGAAGAATTTTAGCAAGATGTTTCCAAAAGTGTTTATCTGTTCCTTAAAGGAGACACTCCTTGCCTTCCAGCTGCCAAAGAATGAGGAGGAGACCTTAGCCCCTGGCGCAGGCACAACCTGAGGCCATCCTCTAAAGCTCTCGTCTCATAAAGTCAATCAAGAATAAATCCATTATTAAGCTCCTACTAAGTGCCAGGGACATAGAAACATTAAATGTTCCCAAACAGCAGTGGAGGGGTATTTAAGGGCCCACATATCCAACAGCTAAGACTCAGTAGTAGTGAGTCAGTCTTCTTTATAGAAAAGTAAAATAAATAAATAAATAGCACTTCTAGGGCTATATCCCAAAGAGATCATAAAAATGGGAAACGATAGGGGGCAGCTAGGTGTTGCAGTGGGTAGAGTACTGGCCCTGGAGTCAGGAGGACCTACATTCAAATCCAGCCTCAGACACATAACACTTGCTAGCTGTGTGACCCTGGGCAAGTCACTTAATCCCATTGCCTAGTCAAAAAAAAATTGGGAAAAAGACCCACACGTATAAAAATATTTATAGCAGCTCTTTTTGTGGTGGCAAAGAACTGGAAATTGAGGGGATGCCCATCAGTTTGGGAATGGCTGAACAAGTTGTAGTATATGAATGTAACGGAACACTCTTATTGTGCTATAAGAAATGATGAGCAAGCAAACTTCAGAAAAACCTGAAAAGACTTGTGTGGACTGATGCTAAGTGAAGTGAGCAGAACCAGGAGAATGTTGTACACAGTAACAGCCACATTGTGCGACGACTAACTTTGATAGACTTAGCCCTTCTCAGCAATGCAAGGATCTAAGACATCTTCAAAAGTCTCATGATGGAAAATGTTATCCAGATCCAAAGAAAGGACTATGAAATTTGAATGCAGATTGAAGCATACTATTTGCTCTTTTTCTTCTGTTGTGTTTTGTTTCCTCTTTCTGGTGGTTCCTCCTATTGGTTCTAATTCTTACAACATCACTAATGTGAAAATATGTTTAATAGGAATGTATATGTATAACCTATATCAAATTGCACACTACCTTGGGAAGGGAGGTGGGGAGGGAGAGGGAGAAAAATTTAAACCTCAAAAAGTTATGAAAGTGATTGTTGATAACTCAAAATAAATAAATTAAAAAACAAAAACAAAAACAAAAAAATGCTGCCTGATAGATTCCTCTGTTGACTTAAAAAAAAAAAAAGCAGTCACTCCAAAGGTCATTTCAAACAATGTTTCTTTTTGCCTGGGCAAGATACAGTACTCAAATTTTTATGGATCCAACATAAGTCTACAATTCAGGGAGTGAATTTCTTCACATCTAGTGACTTCAAGTATCAGGCAGTGCTCTCATTTGTTTGTTTTTTTAACTGCA